GGCCCAATTCTGTAATGGCAACACTTGAGCAGACCTGGTTTGGAAGGCTGAGCTTCAGAGCAAATGCTGTACGCTTATTGTCATAGCTGCTCTCATATTACCTGTCTTCCATTAATCATTTGTGGGGCACCTGCCATCATAGTGTTTCTCTGTTTGTATTGCATTTGCCACATTTGGATTGAAACTCACGTCTGGGTTCCCAGACACTACATGTTATTTATAGTTTTACTCGAATGACTTCAGGGAAAAAGTGACCACTCACTAAGTAAATAATAGGATTATATTTAAATACCAACCTGAAATGTGTGGAGATGTTCCAGGGAAGGGGGAAAGGGAGTGAAATTTTCTTCCAACTTTAATTCTTCAAAGCTTTGGTGAGAAATGTCATAAACTCCCCTTCCTTCTTTACTGCTTCTAGTCAGGAGAAATTATTTTAGCAGTTTTGTTGAGCTCTCTATTAATTTAGAAAGYAGTATGGTTGCTTTCTAAAAGAAACTCTTATTTACAATCCCTTCTTTGTGTTACCTTTATTACCTAGTTGRTGTTAATGCCACTCTTGTCTTATTAATCACACTGAGATTTCAAGACATAAATGTTTCAGAAACAGCCGGAAGAGGTGAGTGATGGAACCAATATGTGGAGTTTGCTTTTGCTTCTAGTCACCAGTAGGACCATTCCTACAGCTGGAGATATTTACAATATTAGGCATACTTTGCTTTACTTCTGCACATTTGGTACAAAGTTAAGGTCTTTTATTTAAAAAAAAAACCTGAAGAATSGGACAAGCTATGGTGGATCCTTTGCAGCACTAGACTGCTCTGCCACTCCTCACACTGTAAATGATTTACCTTTCCAGGAGATCGCCTTGGAAATATTCTTCAAAAATGGTTACTCCAGATTTCTTGTCTTCCATGACAGCGACCGAAATAAGATATTTAAAAGGTAATGACTAGCTCATAACAACATGGGAATGCTCTTGGTAGTGMTTCTGGTCTATCACCTCTATTTATCCTGGTGTCAGGTGCCTGTGTTGCTGCCAAAGGAGCTTTATTTTCCACGTTTTCCTTGAGCTTTAACTGGTTACACTTTAGCTATGAAATTTTCCTTTTGCTGACCTGTGAATTTTTTGGAGCATCATGTAGCCATTGATTTATCAATGGATCTAATGTGTAGGACTTTTCTAGTACCTAGTGGTATCCCYGGAAATTTTGACTGTAGCTGTTTTCCTTCCTCCTTCTGAGATGAGAGCCACCTCTACCTCACCTCACAGTACGGGSTGAAAGAAGGTTTCTTGCTTTCTTCCAAGCAAGGAATAACATGTTTTTGTCTCTCCAGCTTTATCTTTGGTGTACAGTTAACTTTTAATTATGGCATTTTTGTTTAAAAATGTCTCCTTCTGTGCTTGTCTTGTTTAATGGAACTGGAATGCAAGACCATGAAGTGATTAATTTGCATTTTGTTTCCTTGCATGTTTTTTTCTATTGCAGTTCTGGTCATTACATCAGGATTACATTCACTGGCCTTTGTATAGGAAAATCCACTTCCTGGATTTACTAGTACTTCATGTAGCAAGTTCTGCAGCCCAAACTGAGGATTGGTACTGATAATTTGTAAACAGTCATAGCAATTCCTTTTGCTCCTGAAATCTGTCAACAGTTCCTATTGCAGTGTTGCATTAAAAAGGCAGTACAGATTTATCTATTTTTCCTTTCCAAACTGGCTGCATAGTATAGCTATTTAGAATCACCAGGATTTGCCCCATAGCCAGCCSTTATCTTTGCTGTCTTAGAGTTCTGACAAGTATCTCTTGGGGGAATCTTTCAAAGGCAGTTCATGACAAGGTTTTGATCCTCTGCTGAAGGTCACCAAAACTATCTATTGCAAGGGTATAGTTTGTCTGATATCATAAAGGCACAGTGAATACAAATATGAATGGGTGAGATGAGGGTTGGTGTTCTTTCTGCCATTTTTGTTAAATAAATGTCTGAGTGAGTTCTTTTTCTCTGACTTTAATAGTAYCATGAATCAAAAAGTCCATAACACTATATTTAAATTCGAAGTCCTATTGGGGGAAGAAACTGTTTTTGTCCAGCTCATAGCTACTCCTTAATATGAGATGTATGCTTTTGCCTGTTGTCTTGCAGCTTTGTCCCAGGWTAGAGTCTCAGGGAAATACTGTGGCTTCTTGAAGAAAGTTGTGAGGACACAGCAGTTATATAGATATGTAATGTGTCCTAATAACCRTTTGCATAACTATAATGTGACCTTTCATATCTCCTATAGATTCTGCTCTTTCCAACCTGCTTTGAAGTCGAAGGGGATAACTGAAGAATCCCTAAATATAAGGTAAAGCATAGGAAACACTGGATAGCTATAGTAAGTGCAATTGTTTGAATAAGTTGCACCTTAAAAAAAAGGCATATACCTATTTGTGTCCTCCCTTTTAAAGATTCAAAGGTGTTGCCAGAACTTCAAAAAGCATTCTAACATACATCATCACAGTATGAAGATGACTGTCAAGAAGCTGACTATGCAGAGATGATTAATAATTATTACCCCCTTAATATCACTTTATTCGTAAATTCTACACAGATGGTTGCTGTGGGAAGAGACAGTCAGTGAGGTGAGGACAGAGGTAATCCATAATGCTTTTGCATAATGAACTCTTCATTGTGTGCTTAGGGCAGACGGAGATGTACACATGGATGTTTTGGCATGCTGTATAGCTATCGAGTGGAGATTGTAACTCATCTCTCAGATGTATCCTTGCAGAAAAAAAAAAGTCTTCTCCTAGTGGGAAGTGCTTTGCTTAAGAGAATATTTCATGCCATGAGTTCCTGTAACTTTTCTCAATTTCGGTATCTGGGGAGCACAGCCCTAAGTGCCTAAATGGTGTCCTCTCCTGAGGCTGAAATTGTGTTGAGACCTGAGGTGCAGACTGCCCCTGAGTTGTTGTAATCTGTGTCAGCTGTACCCATTTTAATTTTCAGTCTACCTGTTGTGGATCATTGCCTATCTTGTAAGAGAGCATTTTCATGTCTGAGCATCAGTCATCAACTGGCAAAAAGGTATCAGTGCAGTATGGAACCAGCTCTGGCTGCAGCCTAACTTGCACCAGAGGTGATGGCTGACTGTGGAGCATGATGTCTGTCCTGTGTAAACAGTAACTCACAGTAGAATTTCATTTCCCCTCCTTTCTGGGAGCTCAAGAGGTGTGAATGTCTTGAGAGAAGATGCATTACRTCAAGAACTTTGGGCATTAACTGTACTGGTGGTTATTGGGAGAATCACTTGACTCATGTTTAATCTCAGAATTTGAGACCTGCTGCATGCCTAGGTCTAAAGTAGCCTGTCCTGAATCCCAGTGAGGCTCTGCCTTCAGTTTTTCTCTACTGGCTGAGAGACGATCCTRTGTAACTTTTTCATTCTGAGAATATAAAGAGCGTTTGGCATAGCTTTGGCTTGACCATGTTAGAGCATGAACTGAAATAAAATAAACATAACACRGTACCACTGCCTTAGTATTGAAGCCAGAAAAGTAATGCTTAACTGCAAAGTTAGAGAAAATTACCTCAGTAGGTGTGCTTCCCTTTACCAAGCTCCAGTCTCCAGAACTGACTGAGGACCTAATGAGTTTACTTGCTCCTTGTTTGAATTGCAGAGCTTCTGAGTTAGAAAATTTCAAAAGCAGCACTTGGGRCTCCTTTCCCACCTGGTGGGACAATGGCCAACTTCCACAGCATTCCAGCTCTTCCTGCCATGCCTGAGACAAGTAATTTTTTTKCCCAGACACAGTATTAAAAATTGCACAGTTGAAGCCATGGAAAGGAGAAATTACTAGTTTGATGTATCATGTATCATTGAGGTAATAGAATTTCTGGGAAATCCTTATCAGTTTTTTCACTAGTCCATAGGAAATACACAGGAGTTCCAACTCCCAGGCTCTACTGTAGTCATTTGAAAAATAAAGTGCTCCTGGCACTTTATTCTTCATTCAAATAAACTGAAATATTTGCTGTCRCCATAGGGTATTATGGCCACTGCCAGCCCTTCTCATCTTATGCTTGAGTGCTTTTATAATCTGCTCCYTGCTTGTACCTGTATATTGCTGTTTGCAGGCTGTCGGCACTCTCTGCCCKAGGGATGTGATTTGAGCAAGGGAATGTGTGTGCTCAGGTGCACAAGTGCATGTTAACAGAAAGCTAAAAGTGCTGTGGGGGCATGAGACCTGACTTCATCAATTCACAAGCTGACTATTGGATCATTGAAGACAGTGACTCTTCTTCTCTTAAGTCACTTTATTCACTGCTTAAGTATTTTTAAGGGTCCCAGGCCTCTGTATAAGATAAATATTTTTCCTACCCATTCTCCCTTCTGCATCTTCCTTGGAGAGAGGCAGACAAAACACAGTGAATATCGGTACTGGTGCTGGTTGTGTTGCACTGYTTGGAGATCACTGCACCAATGTACAGCACCCAAAATTCCAAAGAGATTGCAGAGTCTGGCCCCTTGACAGCAACCAGGATCATTGGTTGTCTGTCTCTAAGCATTGTGTTTGCACTGCTTAGTTACTCCTGAGCATAACACTTGTGTTGCTGCCTCTGCTGAATTGGAACAGGCTCACAGTTCCTACCCTGACAGTGCCTTGTTTGAGACTCTGAGAGCTTGGTGGCAGCTGCCAGCAGCAGAAGGTTCCCAGGTCTGTGCCTTTTCCTCCAAATGGTATTTACTGAGACTGCAACTGTGTTGCACCCTATGAAAATGTACAGAACTAATATTTGGGGCTTAGTGGTGGGAATGGATTTATTAGAAAAACCTACTGTTTAAAAGATCCCTCCACTAGACATTGCACACTCACAAAAGACCCCAAAAAGCCCAAACACTAAGAACATGTTGTAGGGACAGGCCCTGATGGAAATAGTCTTTCCCAAGTATACATCTGTTTTCATTGTTCTGGTTTCCATTTTAGAGACCACAGAGATTTGCTTCTAAAATGGAGTAGACTTTAAAGAAGCAAAACTGAAAGAAAACAGGAGGAAGAGAGAGGTCAGCTTTTTATTGGTTTGGGCTGGCCTCATCTGGAGCATCRTCTGTAGAGTCTGATGATGTATCTTCATCATTGGTTTCTTTTACTCTCCATTCTTCTTGGTTATCCCTTGCAGTGGAATTGGGTGTAAGGAGTGAAGGGAAACTTGGCTTCTTTGGGGAGGGGCCAGGTGTCGGTGTCATCTGCTCTAACTCATGCAACTCTTCCCGCTCACCCTTACAAGTGTTCAGGCAGGAACCGCACAGGTCTTCCTGTTTCACTAAGAAAAGYGATTCTATGCGTTTAACCAAGTCCTCTTCCTCTTCTTTCACTTCAAATTCTGGTAAAGGGTTTCTTTTTATATTGAATCTCTCAAGCTTGGGGAGTCTTTTCAAACTTTTTGGGATTTTGGTCAATGAATTGTCAAAGAGACCTAGCTCAATAAGTTCCTTCAGGGACCCAAGAGTGGTGGGAACAGTCTCAAGACGGTTCAAGCCAAGGTTGAGAGTACGCAGGCTCTTGAGAAGGGTCAGCTCTGGTGGTAGACTTTCCGTGGTCAACCTGTTGTTGCATAAGTTCAGGTAAGTAAGGTTCTGAAGTGTGCCTATTTCTGGGGGCAGCTCATCAAGCAGATTACTGTGCAAGTCCAGCCATATCAGATTCTGGAACTTCTCAATGACGTTTGGGATCTTCTTTAACATGTTTCTGCTCAAATCGAGTTCTTCCACATCAGCCAGYTCCAGAATGGACTTGGGGAAGGTGGTAATGCCCATTTTGCTTAAGTCAAGACGGCGTCTTCCATTAAAAGCTACCCGGATTGAATTTTTGGCCATTTTCAAGGTGATCCTTTTCCCTTTTGGACCTTTTCCCTTAGGCATCTTTCCGCTGACAGACAGACCAGACCAGACTCTGTGGATAAAATGTGACAACTCCAGTAAAGCCTTTGAAAAACATGGCTGTTAATCACAAAGTTTTAAGTTAATTTTACTGCTAAACCCTTCAGAAGTATTTTTTTTTTTGAGGTCAGAACCTTTCCATTGCAAAGCTGCAGCTCTGAAGATTTTTTCTGCAAGTATTTTCAGTAGATGAAATTGGAATAATTTGCAATATTATTTGCAATGTAGCATCTATATTACATTACAGGGTGAAATTACAAGTGGGAGACATTTGCTGTCTGTCATTCCTAAATACTGATTTGAGGGTAGGATATAATGAAACTGAATGAAATATGTTATTATCCATCAGCCAGTTAAGGACTGGAGCAAWATGTATTGTTGGTCTCAACTCAGTTCTYAGAGACTGCACTAAAAGAAGCTATCCAAAATTGTCTCATTCTACCAGATCAGCASTTGATTTCTTTACAGGCCTGGCATTTGCTAACAGGTTGGTTAAATTTCCTGTTTAATAGGCTTGAGATATGGGCTCTGGATGTTATTGAAACATTAAATGTTTATAGGAAATTATTAAGAATTTTKTTTTAACCAGGGTCAGGAACATGGTGGGCTCCCCAGACTTGCCCGAACTGTTGGYAATTCATACATCATCTACAGGGCAAATTGCAACAAGGATTGGTGTCAGTGCTGCTTAATGACATGTTCAACCAGGCCTTCTAAGTGTCTTCTCTGGGTACTCTAACCTTGTCATTTTGTCCAAGCTGTGGGATAGAGAGTCTCCCACTGCAGAGGTGCTCTGCCCTCAGAAAAATRCATGTAGGTGTTGTAGTCAGACTTTTTGACTCCTACTGATGCTCAGCATGTATTACATGCTTTGTGGAAGCGAGGTCTGTAAGAGTATACTCCACTCATTCTTAGGTTGGTGAACTCTTTCTAATCAAAGGTCATCAAATACAGCTGCTAATTATGGCTAGTGGCAAAGGAAATAGGCTGATTCCCTAGAAATGGGTAACAATGTCCCTCTCAGTGAGCGTTCAGAGAGGAGCATGGGTTACCTGAGTCATCTCAGGTCTGGGTGCTCTGGCATTTAATTATGAAGAGTAAAATTGCAGCTTAAATGAATGATTATTTGGGACAAAATATGGATTTGTCTACAATACATGTCCCTATTAGAAAGGCTTCATTACAAACCCTTCAGGCTTTTTGGCTACTCATTAATCATGTGTGAATACATGAAGGGGAAGATCAAGCTACAACTAAGGCATTTCAGCTTCTTTTCAATTACATGCCATAGCCAAAAATAATGCAAAAGCATTAACCCAGCTACCACCCACTCTCCCAAGAGCTCTGTAATGAGGCAGATGCTTCAGAAAATACTGGAAGCAGCACAGTGGATTCAGTCTTGCCCTGAGGGTATGTTCCAAATAGAGTTTTTGTTATTTTATATGAAAATATTTAAACACAGTTAAATCTGTGTGTCACTCCCATGCTTCTGTCTCTCACMATTTCTTACAGGACCATATTACCAAGGGGCAATAGCAGTGCTATTCTTTCTATAGCCTTCTTACATGTTGGCAGGATGGAAAGAAACTCTCTGCTTCCTGTAATTGACATGAACTAGGTCACCTTAGGGTCCAACCTTTTCTTTATTTGAATTTTCTAACAGATGAACTGGCTGAAACATTCAGTACTTTTTGGTAAGTGAAGATTTTCAGCCAAGTATGCCTTTAAATAAAAAAGGAATTGGAGACTCAAGGAAAAACATGCCATTTTTTTTTCTAATTTTGAAATAGTATTTCTTTTAAAATGCCTTTTTAAAAACATGTTTAAAACTCAGAAAACATTTAATTCAGTTCCTATTAATTTTTTCTATTACTTTTCATTTAAAATCCAACAGGGAAGCATTGATCCAAAACGGTTTCCTTTCTTATTTTAAAAAAATACCATCTAGGCAAAGAATGGTGCGGTTGTGCCGCTGTTGTGGTAAGCGGTTCCCGGTGCCGGTCCCTCTGCGCTGTGCGCTCCTGGCAGCACTAGAGGGAGCCTGGCGTACAAGGTTGAGTGCTGGAGGCTCCGCAGGACTAACTAATTCATCCTGCTGGGTTTGCCTATTTTTCTGCTAATAACCCTTTCCAACCTGTTACAAAGTTTTAACATGGACCTTTCTGGTTTTTAAGAAGTCCAAACAAACAGGTCAGTGTCATTTTTCTGAAGACAGATCTCTTTGTGTGATGCACTGCATAATGTCCAGACTTCAAAGAAGTTTCTTCACGCCACCTTCTTTAGTCAAATTTTTTAAAATCCAACTGTGAACCTCGCAGATGCACTGATCAAGTCCCTAGGGAGGGCTCACTCTTTCTAAGTGCTATTTACTTCGGATTAAAACTTGAAGCCACATTTTAAACTTAGAATATAGGGATTAGTACTAGAGGTCTGCAGAAACATTTTAGTGCACTCAACAACTTGAAGGGGATGRATAGCTCTCCTGCCTCCGCATGTTTGTAAACTAATTATCAGTGTTTTACAGGGCTTAATGGAGCTTACTTAGCCATGTCTTACTGCTCTGTGTAAGAGGGCCCCAGTTGTGTAGCACTGATATTAAAAATTCAGGAATCACAGGAGTCCTCCTTGCTTAAATGTTAATTATGCCTGTTCAAACTTACGCTCACAGTGCATCTCCTGGSATGGCAGAGGGAGAGGTACAAATGTTGCCCTACCACCAAAGAAATTATGATGAAACTTCTCACCTATTTTCTCTAAACCTGCACCCCACTGCSAGGTTCACCCTCTGAGTTGCTGGCAATCCTTTTCCTGCCATGGAGGGTGCTGTATTTTATTGATAAGGTGTCAGTAAAACTGATCTTGACTAGAAAACTGTTTCCCTTTCTATCTACACTCAGTAGAATCTTTGGCCTGAATTGGGGTTTTGAAAGCCTGGAGTTTTAAGAGTGTTTAACAGACCCAGAGCTTTGAGGCTGACCTGATAGAGAAATTAACAGAAAATGTGTTTGAAGGACACCATGCTGTCTGTGGTGCTCAGTGTTGCTGGGAGCTGCAGGATACAGCAGCCTGAGCATCAGCACTGAAACTGTCAGTGTCCCTCTGAGGCAAGAAGGATTGGGGATTATTCTTACTGCACTATAGCACTTGGACTGGGGTCAGTCATGACCTGCTGTATCTCAGAAGGAGATCTGATCCTGCAAGACTGCACATTTGGAACATGAACATTCCCAGCAGAGGCAGGAGCAGAACTTGCCTTCTGCCTGTAGCACTGCCTGGTGTTTCAGAACCTCCTCCTCCTCTTTGGTTCTGCCTGTTATTTTCCTCTAGAGTTGGTGCTTCCAGCTTCACTGCACCCTAAACTGCACAGAACTATCTGGAGCCCATCTTGAACTACTCTCTGAGAAATTTCCCCAGTTCTTCCTCTTGGTGTTCTGCCTACTACAGAGCAGGCCTGGCAAGCCCAGCGGAGCTAAACATGGCCTGCACTTTTCTGGTGGCAGGAAGGCTGAGGTGACCTGTGCTAATTCACCCTTGGAATAGGTGATACTACCCTCTGCAGTGAAATATTTTCATGCAAAGCTTAAAAACAGCATTTGTACAGTATGATTTTGCATGAATCCAAGCAGCTCTGCTTCCCTGCTTRCAAGCCTGGTACCAGTTCTTGTTGTTGGATACGATCTGTTGTGGAAGAGATTAATTCACTGACGGTCTTAAATGCAGTCTCTTGCTAACAGGCCAGTTTAGACTAAATCCCACCATGAGTAAATCGTTTGAGAGAGGTTTCCTTCCTTAATTTCTTACTTTTCCAGATGACTCCAAGGCCATCATACTATCACACTGTGCAGAGTCACTTGCAAAACCGAGGCCCACCAAGAATAAGCAAAAATGTTGTTTCATTATAACAATTCTGCCAGGCTACCCCCCTGCACACGGTAGATCTTACCGGCTAGTAGCTACAAAGGCCTAGAGGGTGAGATGTCACAAGCTGCTCGGTTTTTCTCAGTAGCGTGGGCTGAGCCTTCATAGTCTGTTACTGTGCAGTTGTCCTCTGTCTGCTCTTCTTTGAGTAATATATTAGTCTTTCAGTCTGTAAGTAAACCATGAGCAGGAAACACAGGACAGCTTCTGCGGCCCTGTGAATTCTGAATTGTACTTCCTTGATGGAAAATGGCWCCTCTTCAAGGAGCTTGTGTGCTGTTGGAGTGAGGAGTGGTGAAAGGGCTTCCCCCACTCCAGGGCCCTGCTATTCAGTGCTCCTCCTGCAGTTTATGAAGCTTTTGTTACTAAGCAACTGGTGTGCTACGCCCTTGGAGATCATTAGCATAATGGTTGGTTCCAGAATGCCAGATCGAGCTGCAAGGAAAGGAACTTGAATGGCATGCATTGCCTAGAAATGTTGGATTTCAAATTATGCAGAAAGAAAAAGCATCTGGAGCTCGTTAGAAGCTGTTAGTCATTTTCTAGCATTGCCTTAACTGTCCATTTTAGTCATTTGGCTATTTCAYTTTACTTGGCTGTAGCAGAGTGAGAGATACTTGTCTGTGTGTGTTAAAACCCACAACATTTGTGATACCCTCCTTAGCACAAGCCAGATGAGACAGATGTGGATGCAGGGGGGAAGGCTCGTTCAGTGGTGCAGCAGAGAATATATGAGCTGCAATTTCTACCTGTGACCCTTCCAAAGGGCACTTGGTACAACAGTGTTCCATAAATGAGGGAGATTCCTTCCTGAGGTTCGTTTTTYCCTCCCTAGCCCCTTCAAGACACCCTACTTCAATGAGCTAGGGCTCCTTGAAGTAGGGTGTCTTGAAGGGGCTAGGGAGGGAAAATTTTGAATATGTCATATTCATTTGAATATGACRTTTATTTTTTATTTTGAATTACATCTCTATTCTTTGAGCACAGATTAAGCATACCCAAAGGGGAACTGATACAGTCAAACAAGGGAGACGCTGTACCTTCATAGTAAATTAATCCAACCTAACACTTTTCTGAGTTTGAGWGAGGCT